ATGAAATACTAAAATCAGAAGTTAAGAATTAGGATATCTTCATTTTAAGGAAACAGTAAATTCTACCGTATAGATTTTCAATGTAATTTGTGTTTGATATTAGAAAATTAATTGTTAATTGAATCTCCAAGGTACAAGTTGTTTGATAACACAATATACGCAACACTTTGCTAAAAAAACTATCTTATTAAATCTTTCTGGGAAAGTTTATGGATCAACACATCGACACTTGAATTTAAAACATCTTGCACATTTACTTGCCATCACTGTTTGCAGTACTGCTATGCGTACTGTCGTTAATGTGCTGAAAAAATATTAATTAAATAATAGTTTTTTTATTTTCTCAAAAAACTGTAAAAAACGGTTGTTAGCTATCCATAACTTTGTATTTACAGATATACTCTATTCTTAAACTTTAATTTCAATTAACAAGTGCTCAATTAATTATAGCTCAGCAAGAAATCAGTGTCGCTTCCTTGTACTTTCGTTGTTTGTATACGATTTTTGTTTTATTTTGCAAAAAACCTTTCTTGGTATCCATTTTGCATTACTCAACAAATTTTATGCTCAGATGTCATAATAATTGGGAACGTACAACGAATACGTCAAATATTTTTAAAACAAAAGTGCAAGCGTTCAATTTTAAAAAGCTTTTTGCTCATGTACTAGTAGTGGTTTTTTTTATTTTCTTTTATTGATGAGAACTTTTACTACTCTCCCAACCTCAATATTTTTTTGTATACTGATTTACAAATTTAATTTATCTCGTATCCAATTTTGAAAATTAATGTTTCCAATACCTTTGACTCTAAGCTCCTAACTTATGATCCTGTCTTTAACCCTTTTATTTTTCTTGTACCATTTTATTTTGAAGTATTTAAGGCTGATGTAGATGACCGTACTTGCCCAAATGATATGAATTGTTTAGCTTGTATCCGCATTTGGCAAACTCAGTTTACTAGCTACACTGTTTGTACTTTTTCTGCTTCTTATATTTTTTCACTTCTCGTTTAACCTTTACAAGCCTGGTTTTTTGTTTGCCTCTGCTTTTAGCATTGCGATGTTTTTTGCCGTGAAGTTTGCCATCTTATTTGCTTAACTAATGGTGACCCCATTTAGCTTACGTTAATCAAAACCTTGCAACATAAATGACTAAGTTCTGCTTAAATAATAAATAATCGAAAATTTACATTCAATGATATTTTAACACTTACTACTTAGACAATATACAAGTAATGTGCAAACAACTTATGAAAAAAGCCATACGGGAGATGGTCTTAAGCTTATACCACTGAGATTCCGCATATAATACATGCTCTCTCTACCGCTTGGCTACGGCAAGGAGGTACATACCATGATACAAATCGCCTTCACATCGTACTAATGGTATAATTTTTTTTGTTGTCACGAAATTTACTGTATAATTTTTTTAAAAACATTACTATTCAAATTTATTCGGGTAAAATTAGTTATGTAAAACAACATTTTCTGAAGTATGTTGTTATGCATATAATCTACAATACAAGTTTTAATCATGCTCGATTTGCTAATGTTATGTGTACTTTTTGTTGTTTCACACATAATTCATTTTAATCAAATACGTTTCCATAAAAATATTTTTAGAAAAATTTTAATGCATATTTTATAAAATTATATTTAAAAAAACATAGTAGTGGTGCGATATGTACGCCATTCATATCATAGCATACACCTTCTTGTTGTAGCTGAGTGGTTAAGCATGCTTATGTCGCATGTGGAATCTCTGGCGCTGGGGTTCGGGACCATCCACCGTAGGGCTTTTTTTAATAGTTGTATTTGTAAATCACTTGTAAATAATCCAACTCATAATTTTTCAAAATATTTTCAAACTTATTTTTTGACTATTTTCTATTATTATTATTTTATTTAACTAAAACTTTGGCTATTTGCAATGCAAAGTTTGGATGAACACTAGCTAACTTAGTGAACATTCGTTCAGCAAAACTCCAAGTTTAGTATTTTCTCAGGACCTATGTTTAGATCTGCGTAATAAACAGCTAAGAAGGCTCGGCCTTCGGGGATTGGCACCCATGCCTAATACTACAGCCACTACGCAGTTCCAGGCGGGAACTGGCAGACATGCCTCCTCGTGGTTCCCGTAGGTGTGGCGATCTTGGTGGCTGTCTTGAAGTGTTTGGATCTGGAATGACTGATTAAGAGTCGGGGTAGCTGATGGTTGCAACTGAAGCATCTCTCCTGATCTTGGAGCATACCGACCATATGGCCTGATAAAATTTATCTTCAAGTTTGCATAGGAGATTTGCTTGGCATGCCAATGGGCATTAGATTTTCCCAAGCAGGGCCGAGGGTAAATCTAGCTCAGTCGTAAGATAAGCCCTCTTCGTCTTTTTAAATATAAAGATTCTATTTGTAAAGAAGTACGTAACAGTACGAAGGAAGCAGTGGCAGCCTGCAGGCTGAGGGGAGATTTTGTGTACTTTGTGATATCGAGAGCTTCGATGGCTTAGTGGTTGGCATGCTAGCCTCTTAGCCAAAGATATGACCGAGGTGTCGTAGGTTCGAATCCTGTCAAAAATTATAGAGATATTTTTCTCGGGCTTTTTCGATGGAATCAGTACCCTGGATGCTAAAATACCACTTATCCAAATTTTAAAACAAAAATTCGATTTTTCTGGTGATGCCTGGACCTTCAGGGGCTTTCTTTTCGAAGGAAAGCCAACACTTGGCCAGCTTATCAGGTAAAAGTCACTGTTGGTTGTAAAAAGGTTGGTACAGCGAGTTTAGATGGTTTATTGGAAAATATGTTTCCATTAAACTTGATAACAGCTGGAGTGGGGTGTGCTTTAAACAATTGCTGTGCCCTGTTAATAGTACCCAGTATGATGGATGACCAAGTCGTCTGAGGGGAACTTTGAAAGGGGCGCGCACAAAAGACTTGTACACCGTGTGGTTAGGGCAAAAAAAATTAAAAGCAAAAAAGATCTCTGATATGGCAAAAGCTGAAAATAGTCCTAGAAATTAAAATACTATACCACACTTTATCATATCTCTGACGGAACTTTTCCCACGTTCAGCTAACGTTTGGCCAAACATGAACTTTGGCAAAAGTTTAGCGAAACTTAAAAGGTTTTTCGTGGATTTTGGTAAATAAGCCTTTCTGGATTTTTCTTTTTTTCAATTCTGAAAGATTTACAAGTAATCCTTTTCACTTTTATATTTTCTGATTTTTTTTCTTGAGCCTAGCTTATCAGTTAATTCCATAATTTATAGCCTTCCAATTTACAGTTTCTTTACAAAGTACAAAAGTATATTTTTACTTACCCACTAGGCTAAAACTCGTACCTTTTACGGGAGGCTTGTTTGAAATTAATTAAGCCTAGTTAGGCTACTGAAGTAGCCAATGTACAATTTTTAATCTAGTGTTCACTCTCGCTTCATGCATCTTACGAAGCACGATAACATGGCTTTCTTGAGTCTTTGCTTCTATTATTACTTTAAAGCGTATTACTATTTTCTGATTCGTAAAATATATTAACCATATAAGAATTTTTTTTAAACTCAAACTATCTTTTAGTCTTTTTTATTTTAATCTGTGATATTTTTAAACTATAAATAAATCCATATGAGAATAACACATAAAATAAATATTGAAAAAAATGAGCTGCATGCGTACGCTAACTCATTTTCTTGTATCCACGAACTAAGTCGATCAAAAACATACTAGAAAAAATTAGTTTAATTTATCAGCAATAAAATTAAAAAATATATATATTTAAATATTGCAAGAAAAGATAAGAAAACAACGAAATTCATCACAACTCATAGTCCGATATATTAATAGGCTATTGGATTGATAAAAAGTTATTAGTACCAGGCTTATTAATGTAGAAAATTTTCTATTTTTGCATACAACGTGGACTTATTTTGTTCAGTTCGTTTTTAAATTTTTAGTAAATTTATAAAATGTATGTGTACAAACAAGTATCAAGCTTTCGATCAACGCTATCAATAAGAAAAAGGTGGAAGAAATAAAATTGTTCACTCTACGTTGTAGAACCTATTGTTAATATTTATTTATGCTTGCGCAAATAGGTCAAAAATTTTATTTTTGTACTTATTAAAGAAAATTAAAATATCATACCTCCCATCACTAGCTTGGCAAGTTTTTTGCTGTATCTGCACATCTACTTGACTTTGCCAGTGCTGTAGCGATTACAGCGTATCTTTACAATTTATTATAACATGACACTATAAAAGAGAATATCTTTCTAGTTTGATCTTCAATATGAGTTTTACGTCCAATTATGACTTACTATTTTTCCGTACTATTTTTTAGCGGTATTTTCCGTGATTATTTTTCCGTTCCAAGTCCATACGTGTACCCTTGATGATTGTGATGTATGTGAACCCCATATAATAATTTAAAAAAGGTCCTCCTTCATTATATTTTATATCTTTGTAGTTCATATAACCTTAACTATAGTACATGTAAAACAAGTTATGAAGAGTAACATATTTATTTTGTAAGTACTTCCTACTACTTTTGATATCAATAGACTATTCTCAATCACTATCGTTCCATACACCTCCGACAAAGCTAAATAGTAATTTTAGTAGTATGTACACAAAGTAAGAAAATCTTGTCTGAAAGGAGAAACTTTTGCCTAAAGTCCGAGCGACGTTTTTCTTTCCAAAAGTGCTAAGTCGTACTTTGTGCCCGTAGGCACACACCATTAATCATTTTACGCCCTAGGAAGGAAAAGTACGTTCCTTTGGCGCAAAGTGAGTCCCCAGGGCACAAAAACTTAGTTCTCAAACAAAAAGCGTTAACCTTAGTATTAAATTGATGTTACTCTTGAATACCAGTATTTGTCATTAGTTATTCCATTGCTCATTTTTTAAAATTAGAAATATCCTCAATATTGTAACTATTGTTTTAACTTGATCATTCGCGATTTTTTAATGAAGTTATACATTATCTTACTATTATTTTTTTCTAGGCTCAAAACTCAAGGGTGGAATGTAACAGTTTCTCGTTCAAGAGTAAGATATCATTTTCCTCGCCCGAATGAGAGAAAAAGAATTGTGGAGCAAGGCTACTATGCTAAATTATCAACTTCTTTCGGTAGAAAAATACTGATGAGGCGAATACTAAAGAATAGATATGTTTTGAGTCATTAATCTTTCGTTTCATTTAAAATTGTAACTACTTCATATTGATGGCTTCTGACAGCAAATATAGATTAACTTATCTTATATGTTTGCATGATAAAATGTACGTGTCAAATCATTTATTGTAAAAAGTATCTTTATCACACTATACTTTTGAATACTTGAATAAAAAAATGAATAGTATCTTGGTTAAAAATTAACAAAAGTGTTTTGTTAATCAATTTGGATAAAGCAAATAATTATGTTTTTTTATACTATGTATTAGCTTTTTACGTTCTTACACTTATTTCAGATGAGAAAATCAATTTTGATAATCAGCAAAATGAAAATGATTACGCATGTAATCTGATAAGCCCAAACGACGTCACAAGTTGACGTTTCAATTAGTAAATTTTTTATTGAATTTAAACATTCCTAGCCGATCTTTAGCCTGTTTAAATGATTTTCAAGTTTATTATTTTATGTTAAATACAAGTAGGTTTCAACATTTTTAAGCAGATTGTGTAAAACGTACTATACATATAAAAAATAGCTCCTATTAAAAAAAAAAAAATTTCCAACTTTTGGCACTGATATCAAACAGTTAAGAAAAGGGCACTACTGCGATATACTACTTAGGAAAATAATATAGTATTATCTGGAAAGCTGATACATTGCAAAAGATACCATCTAATGGATTTATTTGCTTCCTATCATCTATTTTTGGTTTGAAAAAAATTTGTTGACATTTTTAGTCTAAGTTCAAATAGTTTGTATTGAATGTAAATGTAAAATATTATACACTGTTGGAAAAAGTAAAATAATTTTAAAAGTTTTTGCCTTCATAAACATGTTTCCTACATTTTGCCTATGTAATATTTGCGTACATTATATTCATTATAATATCACTAACAACGTGTTTTTTTGATGCCTTAAATGTATATATCGTGCATTTCTAATAGATGTAATGGATTACATAGTAAACAGAAAGGATGATTATTACCTGTAGTACCAAGAACGATGTGTTGTATGCGAGGTTCACATAAAAATAATAAAATAACATCATTTATTCTACACAATTCCATTTTATGGCTAACTATATTCAATACATGCTTTTATATGGTGATATCCTATTATCATTCTAAAGAACTTCTCTGTTTTAACAAACAATACAACAAAAGAATAACTGTTAGTTATATGACAATGAATCTTTTAGGATAGTATAAAAAAGTGTTTTTTAATGCAATCATAGTAAATTCAATTCGTCTACTAAATAAAGGTTATAAAGTAGTTTGAAACAACAGATTTACTAGTCAAAAATCCAATACAAAAGGTTTAAAGTTTATAATTTGGTAAAGTATATACGAATAGTTATTAGATGAACAGACAGTGTAAATCAAGTTAATGTTATAAGATTAAATATTAAAAATAATTGTACTAAAAAATACATATAAACTGCTTATAACAATGTTGTCCGAGCCAAAAAGTTATGGAACAAAACTCGCTCTACCTACATATATTAGTTTACACAATCATAAAAATTGTACCAAAAATATTAAAATTGATTGTAATAATGCTGATATAAACTTTAACAGCAAGTATGACGACGACAAAGATGAGAAAGATAACGATTGAAACAATGAAGACGATGATAACGAGAATAGGAGAGTGTTAATTTACCACTCCCAGATGTAATATGTATACATATAAATACACAGTAGAGTATTAAATAATTTTATTTAGAACTAGTATCCTACAGTAATTATCCAATTTCGTAAAACCCCTGATACATATTCAAATATTATTCTACCTATTGTTTCAAGGTTATATAAGCATCATGACATAATAGGCAAACGTAGGAAGGTTTAATATTAAATAGCTCATCAAAATTTGCGAGAATTTTCCATAGACAGAGTAATTAAAACTTTCTAATTATCAAGATGTGTTTTCAGCTGTGAACAAAGTTATATTCGTTAGAGAAGACAAATACGAAGGTAAAAAAATTTCGATGCTACATTCGGTATCAGCATACTGAAGTGTCTGTATTTCCGTGGTGACTAATGCAGACTTACGTATTCCCCTATGTGGTCATATTTACTGGTCTTAAGCTGCATTATAAAGCTTTTTCGAAAAAAATTTTTTGTGTGCTTTAGATTTTTGATTTTATACAATTTAAACTTATTTTTAGAGATAAAAGAATGTTGCATAATACATTGAATTATGAACATATGTGTTTAGCCGTTTTTATACTTATTCTCAGTATTTTTGACAAATAGGTAGAAATTTTAACATTGTGCGGTAATTAGGTCACTAAATTCACGTTCAGCAGCTAAAAATACATAGAAAGTGTGCTCTCTCACATGCTTCTTTTCTTTTTTGTGATTCTGTGATAATTGTATCCATTACGATCGTAATAAATTTGAAGTCATTTATACAGGGCGTTCTGATTTTGAGCCCAAAAAATTATACCACGAGATAAAGCTCATCAAAAGCTCTCGAAAAGCTTTTTACAAAATTTGGATTCGATGGATAATTAACAAGCTATTGTTGATTTAATAATCGATCAATTCTTCCAATCACAGAGCACTTAGCCTCAGGAGGCGGGGCCTAAGAATTGTGGAGGGGCGACTACGCATAGTTAAACTCTTTTACGGAGAAGGTGGTAATAGGTATGCCAGGAGACAAGGTTACCGACTGCAGAGATTTTATCAGTTATCGTACCAGCGCAAAATTCAAATAGTAAGGCCGAAGTATTTTAACCGGAGATCTTTGCCGCTTGGTGCGAGAAAGTCTCATGCATCATGAGCACCAGTAACGTTGAAATTACACCAACACGTTTATTCGAATCATCTAAATTGCAGCACTCATCAAACCAAGGTAGTAAATAAGCGAAATTCGCTTGCCCTGCTCATCATCACCAGAAGGAAGATATCAGTCGACTTGTTGAGTTTTTGTTACCTTCTGGTCATTGGATCATCAACAGGAAGACCACACCTGTTGATACTACGCAACCAGCAGCTGTCCCCACGCATCAAGTCTGCCGCATCATACTCGAATTTACACTAGTAAGTCAAAATAAGCAAGCGAAAAATGAAAGATCAAACGGTTAGTTTATAATTATTTGGTTTATAATAATAATAATTGTTGAACTTTTGGAAACTCATTTAAATGATCTTTATTTTTGCGTGAAAATTAGATTGTATTTTATGTCATAATTAATTTCGATTAGATCTAAATATATCTATTGCGTATTATTAATTAAGATATTGGAATATAATTTGATAAATAAATATAAACAAGCAAGATTACTGTGTCGAGTCTCGGTTGAGTTAGCGGTGTCATGGATAGCATAGTTTACTGGATTTAGGATTCTTGTGATTTTCAATAGTTCCTGTTAATTATTAAACTCCTATTAAGTTTGGTTGTTCATGAGAACTTTCTAGACGGCTTTGAGTGTAGTTTGTTACCCCATCGTGTAGACCTCTTGTTAGCAACATAGAGAGGTATATTCAGACACAATTAGATAATTTCAGTAAGATTAAGAATTCCTATACAAATTTTAAAAAATTAGGTCAAGCTAGAATGACTTGTGGTCAAGCTATAGCACGTCAAAAACAACTTGACAACGTTTTTGCGGAATTCAAGGCCGTTCATAACCTCATAATGAATTTAACCCCTTTACCTAAAGATCATGAATATTTCAAAGAAGAAGTTTAAACCAAGGGTGAAGATCATTATTATAATAATATAGGTGACTTTACGGACTTTTTATATAATCTTAAGGGTGAAATTACACCTCCCAATCCAGTTAGAGGGTCTGATCCGTTGACCTCCTCTTTGAGTTTACCGACAATTGATTTACCGCAATTCTTCGGTAGACGAGAAGAATGGCTCAATTTTCGTGATGTTTTCCGCGTGTTAGTCCATAATAAACAAGAGGTACCGACCACCATTAAGCATCATTTTTTGCGAACTCAAGTAAAGGGGGAGGCGGCCAATCTAATTGAAAATATTCCACTAACTGCGGAGAATTTTAATCAAGCATGGACAGCTCTAGTCGATTATTAAGATAACCCTAGACGATTAGTTTCTAGCTTTGTTAATACCATAATTGAAGCTCCCACCATTAAGAACGGTTCAGCTACCGAGCTCAAACAGTTAACTAGCAATACCCTGAGGCCTTTAGCTGCCTTAGAAAATCTTGGAAGACCTGAACATGGGCTTGGGGGTTTTTTGTAGGGATAGTATCAAATAAACTCGATTTTTGAACTGTTAAGGATTGGCAAAAGAATTTGGGTTGTTCTACTGAACCCCCCATCTTGACTCAGTTCAAGACTTTTTTAAATAATCACTTGCTGACTTTAGAATCTTACACTATCAAATCTAAAGTTATGCCTACAAACCCCCCTGCAAAACAGGGTAAACCTAAGGACAAAAACCGGAACGTTTCGAGTAGTCATCAAACTACTTCGTCGAAGGTTTTTTGTCCCTGCTGCAACGGCGAGCACTATCTTCGCTTGTGCGACAGTTTCAAAACCAAACCGTGGCATGTCAAGAAGGCTATTTAGAAAAAGGCCAAACTTTGCCTTAATTGTTTAGGCCCGCATAAGTTTGACGAATGCACCTCATCCGTCCTTTGTGCGATTTGCCAACAAAAGCACCATACCCTTATGCATTGGGATACTGACTCTTCTCCATTTCGGGCTGAGGCTAAAACAGATCGCTCTTCTAGTAACGAAAAGGTAGTAGATAATAAAGTCGTTCTCGAGACTAACTCCATGTATCAACAGAGAGCCGTTCTCTTGGCTATCGCTAGGGTAATTATAGCCTCTCCCTCCGGAAGAAGCTTGGTAATCCGCGCGCTGATTGATCCGTGCTCTCAAGCTTCCCTAATTTCGAAGTCTCTCATGCAGTTATTGCAGTTACAACCTAAAAAAACCAACACGTTGTTGACGGGACTGGGAGGGCAGGTGAAAACTTCCATCACCCAATCTGTAAATTTTACAATCAAACTTTACTTCGAGTCTCCTTATGCATTGGAAGTTGGTGCTCTCGTTATAAAAAGGGTTTCGTCTTACAGTCCTCTAGCGTCTTCTAAAAAATTACGGCTAGAGTATCTTGAAGGGCTCCAATTGGCTGATCCCAATTTTTCCTCAAATGATCCTGTCGACTTGCTTCTCGATGCAGCCGCCTATGCTTCAATAATTGAGGGACCTATTATTAAGCAAGATACCAATAGTCCAATTGCGGTGAAATCTTCTCTAGGTTGGCTCCTATCTGTTCAAATTAGCAGTTTACACAGATCAAAACCCGAGCAACTGGTCTCATTACAGGTTTGTGAGGAACCTAACCTCGAAGAATTGTTGCAAAAATTCTGGAAGATCGAGGAGCTCCCTAGCTGCAAAATTCTCTCAGAAGACGAGCAATCATGCGAACAATTATTCCGTGATAACTACACTCGAATTTATTCTAGACGTTTCTCTGTAGCGCTCCCTTTTAAGTGTTTGACTGATTCCCTGATCGCTTCTCGAGTAGAATCATTTCAATTGGCAAGATCCATGTTCCTACGACTTGAGTCTAGGTTTAAACGTAACCCGGGGTTGTTCGAGTTGTATCGCGACTTTGTGCAAGAATATATTGCCTTAAACCACATGAGTTTAGCTGACCCTAGTACTTCGATATGGTATCTCCCTCATCATGGGGTGTTGCGCGAGTCGTGTTCTACTACAAAATTGCGTGTAGTGTTTAACGGCTTTGTGACGACTAAATCTGGAACCTCACTAAACTCCTGTCTTTACTCAGGACAAAATCTCTTACCCACCCTATTTGATCTCATAATGCGGTGGAGGTTGTATCGGCTGGTCTTTACCGCTGATGCGGAAAAAATGTTTAGACAAGTAAACCTTAATCCACCTGACTTACCTTTTCAAGCGATACTCTGGAAAGAGAATCCTTTAGACCCGCTTTTAACCTATTACTTAATGACTGTGACGTATGGTCTAGTTTCCTCACCATTTCTACCTTCACGAGTACTAAAGAAGTTAGCTACTCTGTATCATGAAACTTTTCCTCTTGGAGCTGTCATATTGAGAAACGAAGTCTATATGGATGATTTCATTGCTGGAGCCCACTCAGTCACTGACGAGAAGCAAAAAATAAGCCAATTGATAGAGCTGACTAAGTTAGGTGGCTTTACTTTGCGCAAATGGTCAGGTAACTCGAGAGAAGTGTTATCAGAAATTCCTGAAGAACTGCGATCTTCTAACCTCTTGAAAGTAGCTGAAAACGGTGAAGCAACGTCGGTTCTTGGATTGAATTGGGATCCAGAACTTGACTGTTTTGCGTTTAAGGTAAATTTATCCTCGTCCATCCCTTAGTGGACCAAACGCACCGTTCTCTCGCAGCTAGCCAAGTTTTTCGATCCACTGGGTTGGATTCATCCAGTGTTGATCAAAGCAAAAATTCTTATGCAAGAATTAGGGCTGTTAAAATTATCATGGGATGACCCACTGCCTCCTGATCTTCTTAAGGGATGGCGTGACTGGTTAAATGGTACCAAGGCTCTGAATGAAATTAAAATTCCCTGTTGGAATCAATTTCAGCCCAAGAATTCAAGGTTGGAAATCCATGGCTTTGCGGATGCATCAAAACGAGCTTATGCAGCCGTACTCTATTTACGAGTGGTCACGGATAATAAAGTTTCCATCTCACTAGAGATCGCTAAGACCAAGGTTGCGCCACTTAAAACTCTAAGCATTCCGCGGTTAGAACTTTGTGGTGCACACTTGCTCTCTAAGATGGTTAACCATTATATTTCCACTACTAAGATCCTATCGTCTCAAATCCATTTAAATACGGATTCTATAGATACTTTGTGCTGGATTCGTTCAGTACCCTCGAAGTGGCCAACCTTTATTGCCAACAGATGTTCCGATATTCAAACGTTGAACCCTACTGCTGTTTGGCATCATGTCAAAACTAAACAGAATCCAGCGGATATCGCTTCTCGTGGTGTGATTCCTCATCAGTTGATCAATCACAGTTTATGGTTTGAAGGGGCGAAGTTTCTGAAAGATCGGGAAATAATATTCTCTGAAATTTCACCAAAAAATCTGTCGATGAAGGAAATCCCAAGCGAGCAAGTAGTCATTACTATTTCCTCTGAGAGCTCTGAAAAGGACACGCTTGATGTATACCTTGCTTATAGCAGTTGGCACAAGTTGCTTGTTGTCATTGGTTATTGCTTAAGATTTATTTTTAGACTAATGAACAGGTGTCGTTTCACTTCCAGTAGGATAAAAAGGTCTAGCACTGCGGGAACTGAAGTCTTGTCGACTCAAGACTCCCCCTTTCTAAACTTATCTGATGCTTTAGGAACGGAAACTAATCGTTTAAGGTTGTCCGAACTCAGTAATGCTCGTTTGGTGTTAATCAGAATACATCAAAAAAAGCATTTTCTCAAGGAATACAACGTTCTTTCTAAAGATCGGTCGTTAACCGAGTCGGAGCGTAGCTTTATAGGAAGGCACAGAATGCTGAAAAAACTGAACCCCGTGTTAGCTGATGGTATCATAAGAGTTGGGGGTCGAATTAGTCAAGCTTTAATACCCAACGAAGCTAAGCACCCAATCATCTTAGCTCCCAATGATCATCTAACTAGGTTAATCATCGATTATCATCATAATCTGATGTTACATAGAGGAGCTCAGATTACTTTGACGTCCATCCGACGGTCATATTGGATAGTGCGAGGAAGGCAGATAGTGAAAAATTCAATTTTGTTCCCTCTGCATTTGCTATTCTGCCAGACTGCAGACTCCTATGATGGGTGACTTGCCCACTTCTCGAGTCCAAGAGGGTCCAGCCTTTTTGAAGACAGGAGTAGATTACGCTGGACCTTTCCCTATACGTCTGACTAAAGCTAGAGGAAAGGGCACGCAAAAGGGATATATATGTGTTTTCGTTTGTATGATCACACGCACCGTGCACTTGGAAGTAGCAAAGGATTGCTCTTCCCAGGCCTTTCTAGCGGCCTTCATTCGTTTTACATCTAGAAGAGGACATTGCACCGATTTATTCAGTGATATAGGCACGAACTTTATGGGCGCCTCCTCTGAACTTAAGGAATCTCTTCTAGCCTTCATGAGTTCATACAACTTGAACGACCAATTTCTGAAAATGGGCACTAACTGGCACTTTAATCCGCCCTCAGCCCCTTATTTTGGTGGGTTGTGGGAAGCGGCAGTGAAATTTGCTAAGTCGTTGTTGAGAAAGGTAATTGGTGAGCAGATACTTACCTTTGTAAAATTCTCAACGTTACTGTGTAGGATAGAGGCGTGCCTAAATTTGCGTCCTCTTGTACCCCTATCCGATGACCCGTTTGACTTAGTAACTCTCACGCCAGCTCATTTTTTGAATTATAAACCTGCTTTTCAAACTCCAGAACCTCGGCTTGAAAGGAAGCCCTTTAACCCCCTCCGTAGGTGGAAGTTTATTTCTTCTTGTATACAACAGTTCTGGAAGATATGGTCTAATGAATACCTCGTATCATTACAGACCCGCCAAAAATGCTGTCAAAGGCAACGACAAATACAAGTTGATGATTTAGTTCTTATCCGCCAAGAAAACACCCCGCCTGGTCATTGGCCATTAGGACGAGTCGTGAGAGTTTTTCTGGGATCAAACGATAACGTAAGGGTAGCTGAAATCCGCTGGCTCAACTTTGACTCGACCGGTGGTTAAGCTTGTTTTATTATAACCTGTTGAGAAGTTAGATGTCAATTACAAGAAAGATTTGTAAAGGACAGCGGTTCTACCAGCGTCTTGTTTGCTAAATCTATTTAATAAACTATAAAAAATGGAAAAAAGGAAACAAAAATAAAAATTGGGGCTTCTGCTAGTCAATCATTCTCACCATATTGGACCTTTCTGCCTACTTAAACTTTCAGTGCTTATGACGTTGGAGGGCATAAGAATAGTTATGTTTTAAAATTAGATAATCAAAGCTCTAGATTTAGAAGATTTTTGATAAATCAACAAGCTCGATGCGCGGAATTTTCTTGCTTTTTTTTTCAAATAGTTATGTGATACTCCAGGGACTAAGAGGTTCAAGACCTATCGACACGTAGATGGAAAAATAAGCATTCTGATTCGCGCTGAGCCATCGCGCTGAAAGCGTGAGATTTTCTCTAGTTTCTATATGTAGCTGTTATTTCTTAGACGATAAAGCTTTGTATAGATTAAATACTGATCCTTTTTTAGTAAAATCTTACACGTTAGAGAGGTGTGCCTCATAAACGCACATGTCTTGCTTAATCGTAATTTCATTTATTATTTTTTTATTTTATTTTTTATTTTCATAAATCAGACTAAAAAGTTTGATGAAGTAAAAAAATTTGATTAAGTAAATGCGTGAAATGAGCTTCTTCTACAGTATACAAAAAATTTTAATTTTATCTCCAAGTAGTTCAACGTTAAAAGATCAAGAGTTTTACTGAGTATTCGAGCTCAACGCATGAGACCCTCTCACATTATGGTTTTTTTTATCAGGCGATGCATATTCAAAAAAATTTAAATTGAATTGTTTCTCTGTGAAATTTACTGAGAAAAAAATATGCACTGAATAATCGTAGTGGACGTGCGTAATCATTTCTCAAAAATCAGATCTCTGGTTAAAATACTTCGGCCTTACTATTTGAATTTTGCGCTGGTACGATAACTGATCAAATCTCTGCAGTCAGTAACCTTGTCTCCTGGCATACCTATTACCACCTTCTCCGTAAAAGAGTTTAACTATGCGTAGTCGCCCCTCCACAATGCTTAGGCCCCGCCTGCTGAGGCTAAGTGCTCTGTGATTGGAAGAATTGATTGATTATTAAATCAACAATAGCTTGTTAATTATCCATCGAATCCAAATTTTGTAAAAAGCTTTTCGAGAGCTTTTGATGAGCTTTATCTCGTGGTATAGTTTTCCACGCTTAAAATCAGAACGCCGTGTATACATGGGAATGGATCTTATAATAAAATCGTTGGATATGATACTAAAACCAAAACTACAATAATGAGAAAAAGAATAACAATAATGCTAATTGTGATTATAATAGTAATAAGTTCTTCAATGTATATTTTGAATAAAACAAAATCAGTGTCATGATGATTGTTTTTGTCGTAGAATAATTAGACAATGGATTATAATATTAATACATGTCTCCGATATGTAAAGCAAAGTTTCAAAAATCGTTGAAATCTCTAACCGTAAAAACTATTCAACCGAGTTTAATAATATTTTATACTGACTATTGACATTTCCTAGATAGTTTTCGCATAGTTTTTTACATAAGCTTAAAAGTTTACAATAAAAATGTTAGCTTTACGCTTCAATTTAGTAGGATTCGCTAAGAGACGTCGAAGTATAATTAAACCTAACTGCACTCCAAGTCAGTGAGTCTGGTAGTAATAATTTCGATCGAGCTTAGGTGAAAGACAGCTTAAGAATTGAGAACGAGAACTTATCTAAACTTACGGTGCGAGTGAATGCACAGCTCCTCGGTAGCTCAAGTGGTAGAGCAACTGTCTAGTAAACAGGAGGTTGTGTGTTCGATCCGCACCCGGGGAGGATTTTTTCTCGTTCTTAATTATTTCTTTAAAGGAAAATTTCTTGAAAAAGAAATTACGTGGATTTGTATTATCAAGTATTTTCTATATCTTATACATTGAGAAAGGGCATGTATGGATGGTAATAGAGAGTGCTTGTATGAAGAGTACCGCCATCTATGCATATGCGCCTATTGATACAATGATTAAAGTGTATCGACGTTCGCTTGTATACCTATTGGACGTATTGAATTCTATTTTATATTAAGGTTTCACGATACTTGTGTCCAAGTATCTACAGATGCCTTTGTAAAAAAAAACAACACGTATTCATTATTTTTAGCAGGTCTAGTGACTTCGGTATTCGGAGTTTGAATGAGTGTCTGAAAAAAAAGGGAATGAGCTTTTTTTCAAAGATTTTGTAAAGTGCACATTGTAAAAACTGTAGGCAGCAACCAATGTATAAATATATCTCACTGTATATCTAATTACAAACATAAATTTAAGGTGAGCTTAAACGAATTTCACTTCATCTGGGGTCCAGAAAAGGTCAACATCTTCGTTCAGACTTTGCGAAAATGGAATAATCTTCTCCCCGACTAGAAAAAAGGGCGTAGTCTTCGTCCGGATGCAAGAAAAGGGCACAGTCTTCGACCGAGATCCCAAAAGAGCATAGTTTTCGTCCGGACTAAACAAAAAGGCATAGTTTTCGTCTAAACTCCAGAAGAGGGTATAGTCTTCGCCCAGAATCCCAAAAGGGCATAGTTTTCGTTCGGACTAGAGTAAAAGGCATAGTGTTCGTCCGGACTTAGGAAAAGGGCATAGTTTTCGTCCAGGATTCAAAGTAGGGCATAGTCTTCGTCCGGGGCGTTGATATTTTCTTAACACTTCTTGGAACAAAAAACTTGTAATTAAAAACATGTTTATTTGGAATCCATGCAGTTTTAGTTAAATAACAAGATATAAGGAAGTAAAAAAAAAAAAAAAAAATAGTTCTGAAAAGTAAAATAAGTTCCGAAGGCAGTAACAAAAAGGCCGATGATTTACACTTTCTCACGTTATAATGTATAAAAAGAACTATTTGTTATAGTTGTAAGGATTCATAACTGACAAAAAATATATAATTAAAAATTTTTTTTGTTATCAGAAATCTCTGTTTTAATGCCCTCTGGTGTTATGCTGGGGACATAGGCATCTAAAGCACTTTTCTTTCAACATAGAGCTCGTTACGGTGATTCAAGGCAAAGATTTGTTCGTGTCGCTTGCCTGTTGAAGACTGTTCAATTTGCTTTAAGTTGTTTCTCCTTTATAGCTTTAATATTAGATTCGCCAGACGCATACTTTGGAAAAGATTAGTAATACCTGGTTGATTTTTTAGAGTCGTGAACGTAATGCAAGGTCGTCGGTGGCCGGGGTATTCAACCTTGCGGTGAAAAAGTTCACTTGTATCTGTTAGTAAATAATTGACTTGATGAAAGAGTGGCCGGCTTTCTATTGTCTATTAGTGGAGGAACCATTGTGAGAGTTAGCTTTAAAATATTTTTTGAAAATAGTTGTAAAAAAATTTTTGTTGGCAAGATAATTTGGCGTTAGACAACCCTGAAAAGGACCAATGAGAATAATGTTGGTTTAGTAAACTTAAAGATTTATGATGGCTTTAAAAAAGGTCAGTGGTGATACTTTCAGTCAGAGGATAATGTTATTTGTGGCAAATGTGACTACCTGAACTCCTTAAAGATGTTTTCCTTAGCTTGATGTTGTAAGAGTTACTTCAGAAGCAACAGGTTGGCCGAAAGAACAGCCGTAACGCCCTTCAGCATGAAAGCTAGTCATGCTTTAGTCAGACGTCTCCTGGTGTTCCACTAAGGACATTAGCGTCTAAAACGCCTTTGTTTGCATGACACTTGCAATCCAGGTTGAAAATCAGAGTGTCGTCAGCCCACTGCAAACTGTCAGTGTTTTCGGTAGCTTGGATACCCAACTGCAAGACTTTAAGCTCTATTCTTTACATACTGTCAGTGAACGACTATTGTAATAGGCTGACCGTTCGAAATTATTACTACCAGACTCACTGACTTGGAGTGCAGTTAGGTTTAATTATACTTCGACGTCTCTTAGCGAATCCTACTAAATTGAAGCGTAAAGCTAACATTTTTATTGTAAACTTTTAAGCTTATGTAAAAAACTATGCGAAAACTATCTAGGAAATGTCAATAGTCAGTATAAAATATTATTAAAC